TGTGTGTGCCTTATTCATTGGAATGGTGGGAGTATGTTAAGTTCTAGCTTTGTCTTTAAGTTTTTTTTTTGTGAAGATTGTTTTTGGTTCAAACTTACATAGGTCTTCTTTATATTGTAGAATTGTGAAACACGGGAATAGTACAAAACATGGGTTTACAAACACAGGAGAACTATATGAATAGTTGTTTGGATGGAATAGAGGAAAATCACCTTGGTCCAACGCGATTGAGTCCAAGTGGTTGGACCAGATGTTCAAATTTCTATGAAATTGAGGCAAATGAATCCATTCTGTGGGAATTTACGTGCCACCAATCCTTGGGAAGAATCCAAAGGGTTAGAGTCTACAAATTTATACAGAATTTCTGCAATCCAAAGAGGACCTTAAGTTTAACCAAGTACATAGAACAATATATTAACATCTACAATACCAAATTAGCTTTATTAGATTTGTCATAAACTATATTTTTATAATCCATATATTTAATATTTTAGTTATTAGCATGTTCTTTTATATTTGATCAACATTAAACAAATTGACTTAGGATAAATATAATTTCAAGTAATCTGAAATGGAGAAAATACTTAGCACCTTACAATATCAAGCCTCGAAGAATTACATCATCATGCAATGGATGTTAGTGCCATCATCTTGAATTGACAATTGCAGAGACGCAATGTGCTGTTTTGTATGCAAACGATGCTTGCAGGCACATTCCTGATTCAGAAAAGGAAGTGTTACGCTAATCCCGAGCACAAACGCATAAATTTTACAAAATAATATAAGTGGAATAAAAAAATCTGATTTTTTGCGTGGATGAACATCAACAAGCATTTTAGTTTTCTGCAAAAATTCGCCACGAAAAGACATCCGCATGATGCTTTTGCTAGTTCTCTACACGAAGGCAATGAAAATGATTCCACACTTCACCCGTCCAGGATTGCAGCTTGGGTTTGAAACATAAACATATTTGTCTACTTTTAATTTGAATATTAATTTACTTCGGTTTTTTTTTACTGTAACTCTGGATTTCTTCGATCACATGGGTCAGGCCTGCAGGACCCTGACCCACATATCACCCACCCAATGACACCTGGTGATATGTCTCGCTTTATGCAAGACAAATGATGCTTAAAATTCTTTAAAATGACAGGTGGCCAACCTAACTCGGCATTAATATATTTTTTGTTCTTTTTATTTTTTTGTTTATATTTTAAAAATATTAGAAATACTATTCCAGAAAATTTAATGTGCTTAAGATTCTTTAAAATGTTCATCGCAAAATTGAAAAATATTAACACAATATAATTTAAGAAAATATTGATAGCATTCAAGAAAAAATTTCATGACGTTTAGAAAATGTTCACGAGACAATTTTGGAAAATGTAATGCAGTGTAAAAAAAAGTCGAGTAATTCAAGACAAAAAATGTTCCAGACCATTCAAAAAATGTACTTTGCATTGTTAAAAATGTGTATACATTTTTAAAATACGTTTTTGACATTTAAAAAATATCTACACAATGTAAAAAAGTTCTCATAGTTTAATAAAATATTTTGTATCATTCGAAAGATTGTTTGAAATGTATTTGAAAAATGTTTAACACATATATGAAAAAATATTCAAAAATATGTATTTGAAAAATATTAAACATGTATAAAAATTATTTTATACTCCCTCCATTCCGAATTACTTGTCGCAGGTATGGATGTATCTAGATGTATTTTAGTTCTAGACACATCCATTTCTACGACGAGTAATTTGGAACGGAGGGAGTATATGTATACAAAAAATGGGAAAAGTATCTGGTGCACCTGGTGCTTGTGGTGCTGCTGGTGCACCGGATGCCGCAACACGTTCAAAACTGTTCAAAAAATCTGAAACAAATGTAGCACATTGACATAACATCGGTCTATGTTGTCACAAAAAATCAAATAAAAATTCGAAACATTGCACGAGATACAAAAATGACAAGTTTAGCATTAATGTAATAATGGGCCAAATCTAAAGCCCACCTTATGCTGTGTACTATTCAGTGTCAATTTTGTGATTTTTGTACCTCGAGCAATGTTTCAAAGTTTGAGTTAAAATTTTGCGAAAAATAAGATCGAGATTATGTGAATGGGCTAATTTTTTTCATATTTTTAAATGTGCTATGGGCGTTCGGTGCACCGGTAGAACCACAAGCACCGGTGCACTAGATACTTTCCCACACAAAATGTACAATATGTATGAAAAATGAAAATGAAAATCTATATCTGAAGTTCCGAAAAAATCTATATTTGAAAAAATGTTAAAGGTCTATAAAAAATGTTCCCGGTGTACACAAAAAATGTATAGTGTGTACAAAAAAAATGCAGACATGTGTTAAAAAGGAAAGGAAAATAAAATAAAAGAAATAAGAAAACTGGTGAGAACAAAAGAAAGAAGCAAATAAACCAAAGAAAAGAATAGGAAAAAAAGAGAATGTAAAAACCAGAGAAAACCACTTCAAACTTGAAAAATCGATAACAAACCGAATAAAGAAAAAAAACACATCCACAACTACGGTACTGGGCCGACCTAGTAGCCCCCGTGGCAGAGGCAACCCCGAGCTCCGCCTTGAGTAGGCGATACATAGATCTGGTGCCCAATGACATGGTCGGTAAAGCACGTCAGCGAAGCTATGTAGTTAAAGGGTCGGGCAGCCTACAAGCTTGGCCCAAATAGTTGGAGTCATAGTCCTGGTCAAGTTGGCCCCGGTTGTAGGCCACCCTGACGTCGAGTGCACGCATTGGAGGGCCCCTAACGAGGAGGTGGACTCGGACTCTGACTAGCGGTCATAGTTAGCATGTTGTTTATTCGACATGCCTATCTAAGTATTTAGTCTAGTTGTGTATAAAAATGTCAGTTGTCATTTCCGCAGTCTAAAAACGTGTATGTACAATGTCAATAAGAGATAATTTTTGTTCAATAGTTTGATGTTCATCCAGGCAAAATCTAGTTAGAATCTATGCCAAGCCAAAGTAGAATTTTGAGTACACATGGAAAAGATGAGGGAGGAAAAATTATGGAGGTTGCAATTTGGGGATTAGGAGGGGTTGAGAGGATTGGGTGAAGGGGAGGGGTTCACAAGATCCCTTCTCATTCCCAATCCCTTTGGCGTTGGAAAAACTCTAGTGCCAAATAAGGCCTTAGGTATATTGTAAGGCATGGTTTTCTGCGAATTCTTTATCGGGTGCGTAGAAGAACATGAAGATGCAATTGGCGAAGATAGAGATGGCAACTTTAAATTGCTTTGATGCGATGCCGTGTCAATGTATTTTTTTTTCTGTTGGTCGCTTTTGTTTTGATTTTTTTGCGAAAAAACTTTCAATCTATTCATCTTCAATTATGGCAGTACAACGAACACTAGAAATAATAAAAATTACATCCGGATTCATAGAACACCTAGCGACGACTACAAGCACTGAAGCGAGCCGAAGGTGCGCCGCCGTCATCGCCCCTCCCTCACCAGAGTCGGGTAAAACTTGTTGTAGTAGACAGTCGGGAAGTCGTCGTGCTAAGCCCCAATAGGACCAGCGTAGCAGCACAGCAACCGCCGCCGTTGAAGAGTAGCGTAGATCAGAAGGATCCAACCTGAAAACACATGAACATAGACGAACTACAACCAGATCCGAGCAAATCCACCAAGGACAAATCCGCGAGAGACACATCTCCACACGCCCACCGACGATGCTAGACACACCATCGGGACGGGGGCTAGGCGGGGAGAAACTTATTTCATCTTCAAGGAGCCGTCGCCGTCTCGTCTTCCTGAGCAGGACACAAACCCTAACAAAACACGAAAAAACAACTGAAAATAGAGCCCTCCCGCCGACAAGGGCCAAAATTCACCGCGCCGCCATGGCCCTAAGGCCACCAGAGACGAGGCGGACCGACAACGGCGCCGGTGGGAGGCAGGGGAACCCTAGAATTTTTTTAGCGAAGAGGCTCTGCTCGGGTCCCAAGTACGCCTCGCAACGCTTGTTTTGATTTCTTTAATCTGATGTAACACCTATCTAATTAATAAAGTCAGATCAGTATCATGGTTTCCCTAAAAAAAGTAAGAAAGGAAAATATTCATTCACGGAGCCGGTCCTACTTTTGGGTTTCATTAAAGCAGACTAGTGCAAGTGAAGTGTAGTTTACTCTACCTGATACTCTCTCGAACCACGCACCCATAAAGTTATATCCCATGGATAAATACATCCAACACCTATGTATATGCTTGAAACAGATTTGAAACACTCGGCCAGTTCCCCGTCACAGGACAATAACTACAAACAAGAAGTGGAGACCAAACAACAGCAGCAGCGGAAAACGATGGTCCAGGCGTCGAGAACTTGTGCAGCACACCTGATCACAAGAGGATCAAAGGAGAATCACAACAAGCTGTTGCAGTTGGTGCTTTGTTGGTACTGACACTTGATGACAAGTCAACAACCATGGATAATTTGGACTAGCTTATCAGAAGACTCCAGAGATCCAACCCTTATAATTGCTACCCAATTCAAATGACAAACTCACTGAAACAAACAGTGCAATCATAGACCAGCTCTTCCGTCAAAACCATTGCCTAACATACAAAGTAGCCCCATGGATACAATTTAGATACAATCCTTAATATGTACAAGCCCCATTAAGGTCATAGATAAATGCTGGTATTGATCTGTAACCTCCTGCTCGATTACAAGCTTCCTTCCTTGCATTGTGCCGTAAGGGCAGCGGAAAGCAAGTTGCAAAACCCCTCCTTCCTTGCATTGTGCCGTGAGGGCAGCGGAAAGAAAGTTGCAAAACCCCTCCTTCCAAGAACCGGTGGTATCAAGCGTGCCATTTGCTCAAATGGACAAATTAATTTACAGTTTACAATGTTGAAGTTACATCCAAGTGCATGGAGGCCGGAGATGAAGAGAAGCGAAAAAAGCTCCATGGCCACCTTGTTTCTTCCTCACTGCTACCTAGAATGCTTAGTTTAATCTTCTATTGACTTGTTTCGTTTGGCATGGTAGGGGGACTCTTCCTAAATGCATGCTTTCTGCAGCGCTCGAAAATGCCATCATACAGCAAATCAAACTGCACTCCAGCTCTTTCCCGATTTACAATGAAAAGAATGTGATCACCCTCAATGATCTTGTGATACCTACAAATCAACGGAAAAAAAATTTAGGAAAGCACATGTATAGTTTTACGTGAACAAAGCACAAAAATGGGCGATGTGTCTTCAACACCACCCAGGTTATCGTCCATTTGAATTTAATATCGAATTTGGTTAGTACTGTTGAAACAAGAAATTCATGCATAACTGTATTTTTTATCAGATAAAAAGGAAAGGGATATATGTCGTTCCAGTAAGAACTTCACAGCAAGACTTAGTAACATGGTACTAACCATATCCCAGGTTGCAAAGGATTGCAGTCAGAATCATCCACTACAAAACGGTTAGGATGCTCTATGGGAATGCGAGGGTGCGTCATGGAGATTGTGTTCAAAGCCCCATCATTATCTTCCCAATCTTCATCCCTGAGTATCATCAGTAAGAAGATTAATAACGTGCACGAGTAATGAATTGTAAGGTTTTCTACAAGATAAAAAGGGGGAAATGTAAGCAGCATAATCTATGAACTTGGCTTTGGAGCAGAGGATTTCACCTGTATCCTTTGTAAGGTAGAGGCGCGTTTTGAGGGTGCCGCCACATACACATCTGGAGAACTCTGAGAAAGAGCATCGGGTGAACTCCAAGGACGCTTGATGGTACTGTAATTCCAAATAGCTTCCGAGTTCTCTTTGTAGCATAACTGAAGTAGAATGTATTGGGAAAGGTCTTGAGGGTGGAGTTAATTTTTAGAGATCCTTGAATTGTGAGGTCAGGGAGAATCCAGTCTCCTGAGGAAAACGGCCCAGTATTCCCTAGCAGGAGATCAACTAAACCAGAAAAACCAACTTTTCTCCATGACATTTCAAAGTGATCAAAACCGAAATTGTAGTAATTCTTCAGCCAAGGAATGTCCAGCCAATCATAGACAATGACTCCAAGCCTGCAGAGCTGAAGAAGACAAATTGATTTCATGGATCTCCCATCTTCAGCCCTGAAATTAATAGGAAGTGAAACATGATGACAATGGTATGGAGACACACAATATGGAATCACATTGCCTTTTGAAAAATAATAGTATGATATCACACTAATTTTACGAGTTCAAGTCAACACTTACAGCATGCCGTCATAGTAAGTCCGTGTGGTTCCATTAAGGGCGCCTGACAAGGAAGTAAGGCTCAGAACCCAGTCTTCAGAAGTATCATGCCCAGGGAAAGCCTGACATTAGTATTGAACAGTGTGTTAGAATTAGATGGCCAAAATTGTTGGACCCTTACTCTCAAATAACAATATGCCGTAAGTCTATTTGAATTTTAACACTAAATATTTAAAATTAGTGATTATTGAGTACAGAATTGTCCTGTGAAATTTCGTCATATTTTGGCAGCATGAATTTCTCATGCAAGATGGGCATGGCTAGTGTTCGCTAGAGCAGCATGCCACCAAGTTCCCGGCATAGAAATGCAACAAGCAAGACCCACAAGCCACATGCATAAAGCCGAAAAAAGGGCCCACGCAATCAAACAGAGATGCTCATTTTAGATGCAAAATTGCACTGCAAACAACATAATTAAAAGAAAAGAAAAGATAACAATGGATGCTGCCAACATTAAAAACAGATTATTTGGACCATCCATAGAAAAGCGCTTTAAGCTTCATGCAAATGCAGTGATGCTAATTTGGGTGCTTCGAACCTGCACTCCTGATCACAAGAAAAGCCCCTCGGAAAGCATAGGATAAGCATGAACATTCTACCACCAACAAGCAACAACAAAGCGCTATCGTTTCTGAGTAAGATCTGAAATCTCTTGTTGTACCTTCTCAGCGAGCATCTGATGCAGCACCCTCACAACCTGCGCGCCGGCCGAGTGCCCCACAAAGTGCACAGGGTTCTGCTCGTCCCACACAGGATAATGCCCTGCACACGATTAGAAACCAGAAATGAAGAACTCTAAATCCAAACTCATGCGAGGCCATAGTGCCAGGGTGATGCTCTGTTCGTCCAAATCCTCACCTGTTTCATAGATCCTCCCGAAGCGCGTGTGCCCATAAACCTGGCTGTGCTCCACGCCGTAGTCCACCTGTCCCCCCTTGAGGTAGTAGAACAGCTCCCGCGCCCTGCAGAGCCACCAGATTCCCCAACAATCAAATTCCACCCAATATACTATACTGCTAGCTAGATTTAATAATAGTAATAAGCGAATTCAGGATAGCTCGTCGAGATTTAAATGGGTGTCCAACCACCAAATGATGAAACAACTTTGGTAATTTTGCCACCCACCCACCTGTCATGGATGCTGGTGAGCGACCCCAAATCCGGCACGAGCACGCGGTCGTCCTTCTTCTCGGCGCCGGCGAAGTAGGACATCCCGCCGAGCCTCTGCGCGCAGATAAAAAAAACAGGAACGCGTGAGTACGCCTCGCCGGCATTTCACCGAACACCCGCCCGCCACAGGTAAGTACGTACCCCCTTGCCGAAGCCGAATATGCCGTGGACGAGGACGATGGGCGGCGGCGAGCCGTCGAGCACGACGCCCCTGCGTTCGTCCTCCTCCTCGGCCGCGGCGGCGGCGACGTCGACGAGCCCCGCGGCCGGGGGCGGGCGGCGCAGCAGCGGGCACCCGGACGCGGCGGCGGCCTGCGAGATGTCCGCCGCGACGGCCGTGCTGAAGACGTAGAAGCCGAAGAGCAGGTGCACGGCCGCGCTGACCCCGAGCTCCACCAGGCCCAGGATGAACCTCGCCATCGCGCTCCGCCAACGACCCGCGGTGGGCGGGCGCCGCGCCTCCCCCCTTCCCCTCCTCCCCCCCTCGCCTCCCCGCGGGAAGAGGAAGAGGAAGAGGACGAGTCGGAGAGGAGCCGGTCACGCCTCCGGGCCGGGGCCGGGGGGCGCCCTCGTTTTATCTCTCTCCTCTCCTCTCCTCCCTCCCTTCCGTCGCTGGCAAGGCAAACCGCTGGCGGGCTGCCTGTCGCGCGCTCCTCCTCCCAGCGTCGTCGCCGTCTCACGCTGGCGCGCCCGTTCTCCGTCCGCCCTCCCTTCCTTCCCCTTTGCGCGTCGCTAACTTTGGGGGCTGGGCTAGCCTATAATCATACGGTTTTGCTATTTATAAACGGACGCGTCGCGTCGACGATGTGTGTGACGGGGGGCGAGCGTCCTGGCGCCCGCGGGTGTGAGTCGGACGCGGGTGGATTTTGATTTTAATCGCGGTGCGGGTCGGAGCGGCTGGCGCTTGGCTGGGGAGGCATGGGGGCCGCCTCGCCGTGTGGCTGCCCGGTTGGTTGGTTGGTGGCTGGCGGGTGGAGCCTCGCCTCGCCTCGTCCCGTCTCGGGGCTTGGCGTCGCAGCAGCCTTTGGCGGGCGCGGATTGCGCGGCCAGTGGCCAATAGGGCGTGTTCGCGTGGCACCAGTTGGCGCTGGGTGGGGGCCAGTCGCCAGTGGGGACCCCCGGCGTCGCGTTACTGTTGGGCCATTTGTGTGGCGGGGACAGGGGGTCCGTTTCCTGTTTTCTTCCGTGGCTGGGAATTTCGGTTCTATTGTTTTTCCCGGTGGGCGAGAAGGTTCTCGAGGAACCACGAGTTCGGTAGAGTCACGAATCCGATTTTTACACGTGAGGGTGAGGCAGTACAACTACTTGGAAATAAATATAGGCCAAGAATCGTAGCGTACTACACACTGTCAGATTAAAAAAATCATTCACCACAAAAGAGTTACGTAAACAAAATCATAGCGTGCTACACGTGGGCAGCCCATTCACTTCCGCCAAAAAATGGTATTTCTAATGTTTCCTTTTCTATATCACCCTGTGCAAAGTAAATATCATGCTGAGCACCGTAGTTTTTTTAAACATCGGTACAGATGCAAGCGCTCATACATACGTGCATACACTCATTTATATGAACGGATACACGCACACCCTATCCCTACTAGTAGAATGCTCGTGCGTTGTTACGGGCTACAATACATATAAATGAAAATGATTAAGATTATCTCTAAGGCAGAAGCCCTTTTTTCCTCATACGTTCGGATATGTACGAGCTTCCAAAATTCAATCATCTAGACAGTCCGGGTTACCCCAAATACATACCATATGTGGGGGAGAAATGTAATTGTCCGGACTTTTCATCATGTTAATCCCCAGGACCCAACTGCTCCTGACCGCTGCCTGCTTTGCCTCCGCTGCCCCCGGTCGTCCCTCCTAGCTACTCCCGACTGCCGCTTGTCGTGGCTCGGTCGGTCTCCATCTCCCGATCACACCGACGAGGTGGAACCGGAGCGCCCATCACATTGCCTCTCGGCCACCACGACATCTGTGTCGCACTCGTATTCCCCGAACCCGATGACCGCCGCCGCACAACAGGCTCTTCACACGGCACCTTTCGGCGCCGATTCCGGTCGGCCTCGGGTCCGTGTTGATGCAAGAAATGCGTCCCTGCCAGAAGCACCCCCTCCCATCAATAGTGTTGGCCAAATTATGTTATCTCCTTCGACTTTATCCGTCGATGCCGGTCAACGTGTGCAGTTCTCCTTCTCTGATAGCCTGCACGACCAGATCCAGAAGGAGTGATGACGCAGGGGAGATCTCAAAGCCAAATCTGATTTACTGAGATCCTATCTACAACTACAGCTATACGACAGACGTCACCCTTGCCCACTCAACTCCAACGATCACAGGGAAAGGGACGCGGCCAGCGACGAGGAAATTTGGGGTGGTTCTAGAATAATCTGTGTCGCGAGAGAAGGGGAAACCTCCAGACTATCATAGCTTCGCCCAACACTCTCATCTCAATCGCAGCCTTAGATTCAAGATTGGATAGTACACATGGCCCGAAGGCAGACACACCATCACCACCAACTCGCTTTTTTATAGTAGTATAGATATAGAAGTAGAGAAATTTGCAAGATCCTTGGCCATTAGCTTCTGAAATTAAAAAAAGCTTTAGATATTGAATTGACAGGGTATTTCCTCCTGATATTAGTGATAGTTGTACCAATTCTAATTGTTTTGCAGATCATGTGGATAGACAATAAAACAGTTTTTCTTCTTCTTCTCTGATCGGGATTTCTACTTTGCGCCATTAGTTAAATTGTTAATCAATCTGGTTTTGCAAGTCATCGTGTCTTACCAGCAGTAGGGTTCCTAATGGACATTGTTCTGTCACTGCTCATTGTCAGTACAAGGTAAGACGACCTTTTCTGAAATTAATACAATATTTCTCAGCCTCTTTGTGGAGTACATGTGAGTACTTATGCCTATCAATTTTATACAATAAAAGTAGTTTCTTATCCAATGTGTGTTCCAGTAAGAAAGACACATTGGTTGGCGTGGGAAAATTCTGAAGCCTAAAGGGAAGGGTGGATTGGGATTCCGGGACTCGCGCAAAGCATGGCGTCTCCTCACAAAACCGAATTCTTTGTATTCACAGGTGCTAACAGCGGAATATTACCCTAATGGCTCTACTGAGGACGTGGGTTTTTCAGGAAATGAGTCGCCGACTTGCATGGTATCCAGCATGGGCTCGAATTACTCAAGAAAGGACTCATATGGGCAGAACCTAGCCAGCCATGCCTTGGCGCAGATGGGGCATTCGCTGCTTTGGACGGCCATATGGATGCATTCAACATCAGATGAGGCTGACACTATATGTAAGCAAAACTTTAATGTTCCCACTTGAGTAATGAAAACTTCCCTTTCACAAAAAGGGAGTAATTTCTTGCAAATCTCGGACCAATTTGCTCATCGGAAGGGGAGCCATTTTGACCGCTACCCGTCGCGCACCTCCCTCCCAACGTTTCCATTAATGGCGCCCGAACACCTATTCTACGGCGTGGCTATATGTCTCACTGGACTAAGATTTAAGAGAAAAAAAATGAAAATCTGAAAAGAAAGTTTGGCACGGATCTTGATGTAAGATCCGACGAACCTATATAGCATCGACTGCGACTTATAGCAAGCATGATGAATATAAGGACGATGACATTGGATAATAATTGTCTTACATATTTATAAACATAATTAAAAAAAGCCACATGCGGCAATGCCCGATATACACAAGGGCAAAAGAAGAAGGAAGCCACAACAAGAACTAGTCTCCGCGGCGGGCGGCGACGAGCTCTTTCTTGTCCTCAAGATGCTGGTTCAGAGCATCCACGGATTCCTCCACCAGCCTTCTGCGCTCGATGCGCAGCATGGCATTCTCGTCCATAAGTTTCTCGACGATGACGCCGGTTCTCTTCAACAAGGCAGTGGTCTGCTCTTGCTGCTCCGCACTTCTGACGATCTTCGCCCTCAGCAGGTCGCGTTCGGCCCGGAGCTTCGCATTGCGATCATTTAGTTGCCGGATGACGTCGGTAGACTGTTCAAATGAGGCTTTCAGGTCATCCCGCAACCTCGCCCACCTGAAGATCTGATCCATCTGCCTAAGGACGAGGGCACGCATGCGCCTGTAAAAGTCCTCGCCTGCCCGCGAGACATATTGCCAGGCCGCCGCGGCGCGGGAGGACATCTCTGCTGCATTCGCGGCGCGACGGGACATCTCTTCTGCTTCTGCGGCGTGACCGAACCAGTCTGCTGCATCGACGGTGTGGCGGGTCCTTCGTGCTGCTTCGGCGGCGCGGCGGGACCTCTCTGCTGATACGGCCGTGCGGCGGGACATGTTGGTTGCTCTCGCGGCGAGGAGGGGCATCTCTCATGCTCTCGCTTCCAGGCTCGCCTCTCCCTGGTGGCAATCTCTCGATCCAGAACTCACGCTGGCCATGGCAGACGTAAGGAAACAATGATGAATGACTTGTTTGTTTTTGACTTTTTGTGGATGAGGAGTTGAGGAGGAATGTGCAGTCATCTTGGAGTAGTAGTATTTATAACCGCGTAGTAATACACTCCTAAGTGGGAAACCGTTTGGGTTTTGATCGGTGTGAATAGGTTTGCAATTTGGAATGTGACGGGACGCATGCTCATAATTTACTGACGGTTATAAGTGCGGCACTATTCCCGGAAGGCGTGATGTGGGCACGTACGCCTTATCGGCCGCGTACGTGGTGCTTGCACCATAGGGTGCACCGCAATAGGCAATGTCAGCACACGTCTTGTTCCAACAACCGTGCGCGCTCGTTATTACCATCACGCATGCTTCTTTTAATTAGAATGGGTGTGCCTGTCTAGCGCACACATGTTGATCTATCTAATTATTTCAGTTTTTTGTGGCTAATCGCAAACAGTTCATTCATGTGAAGTGTATGCCATCAATCACAGACACTTTGGTCTGGCTTACCCATTTCTGTTATGTTGCCTAATCATAAATAGTTAATCCTTCTGAAGCATATGCCCTCAATCACACACACCTTGATCTGACTGACCGTTTCTCTTGTGTTGCCTAATCACAAACAATTCATTCGAGTGAACCGTATGTTGTATATCGCACAAACCTTCATCTTGTTGGAAATATGCCCTAGAGGCAATAATAAATTAGTTATTATTATATTTCCTTGTTCATGATAATCATTTATTATCCATGCTAGAATTGTATTGATAGGAAACTCAGATACATGTGTGGATACATAGACAACACCATGTCCCTAGTAAGCCTCTAGTTGACTAGCTCGTTGATCAATAGATGGTTACGGTTTCCTGACCATGGACATTGGATGTCGTTGATAACGGGATCACATCATTAGGAGAATGATGTGAAGGACAAGACCCAATCCTAAGCCTAGCACAAGATCGTGTAGTTCGTATGCTAAAGATTTTCT